GCAACCTATCCAGAGGACACTATGCAGATGCAGAAAAGTGGAAGTTTTAAAAATTGCATCTCATACCCATTTTTCGACCATTTGCTGCCCAAGGCAATGGGATACCATGATTAACTGACTGAGATTCCCCTCAGACACAGCAGAGGGCCATCATCTTCAGCATTTGCCTCCCCAAGGGAACTTGGCAGCCTCTCTGCAGGAGTGCCCTAAAATGTAATAAACAAGAAAATGAAGCTGATGCTGGGAGCTTTGGAATAGATCTGGGTGTGAGTACCTGCCCTTCTAGTTACTATCTTTGAGACATGAACAAGTCGCTAGCCCTCCATAAGTCAGTTTTCTCACCTGTACAATGGGAGTAATTTCAGGTCACCTTGCAGATTTCATGAGTTGAGCTATTTTGTTTTTGACAGTTATATTTTAAGTGTTCAACAAATGGTGGTGTGGGGGTTGATTGAGAGTCTCCTGTAGGGGACAATCACTTTAGAGGTTCTGAATTTGAAAGAGAACTTTTGTATCGCTCTAAGGACATGCTCTTACCAATAAGCAACACTTTTTAAAGTTACTTGCAAAGTGTCAGCTTTCCCCTTTATTCAGACGAAACAATGGGCTGCTGCAGGGGAGAATACAGGATACGCCTCCAGGGCTCTGGCTCTGCTCCCGTGCCTGCTCCACTGGGAGCCCTGGGGCCCGTCTGCCCTTGACGGGGGCACAGGGTCTGCCAGCCAGGGGCTCTGTGCTCCTGCTCAGAGTCCGCTGTGGAGCAGACACGCTTCAAGCAGAGGAGGGGCTTAGAAACAATTTCCACCCATTCCTTTGAATGCTTATCTGTCTCGGCAATTCTGCTGCTCCCTGAGATTACCTTTTAATCTAGGGTATTTATAATGTGGAGAAAACATAGTTTAAAAACAAACTTTACTTTCAAAGAAGTGAAGGACCAGGAAAACATCAATCTACTCAACTGAAATACAATGGCCACCGCACGTTCAGTGCGTCTTCCTCATAGACACCGAGAGTGCCCTTGATGGTAGTAAGAAAGTCTGCTCCCATGAGCCTCTTGGCTTTCTCCGGGAGTACTTACACCTTTCCCAGCATATGGCATTGTTACTGTGTTCCTGTAATTTATGAAAATGCCTTGTCAGTAGTGAATTAAAATGTATGGCTATAAATCTACAAGGACACAGCAGTAACTCACACAGATTTATCACTTGTAGGCATGTGTATCAAGCCTCTGGAATTACTGCCTCTACTATAGACAGAGGTTAGAGAAGAAGGTAGCAACTTACAGGCCATTATACATACACAGCAGTTTGTCATTCATTGGTAGTAGTCTGAATACAAAATACAAGCATGTGGGCCGTCCACCTAACGCATGCTAATCAGCAAATTTCAGCAAGAATGCTAAAATCAAAGAATGACCCCCAAAGAAGAAGTCAGAAAACACAGACCCATTTAATAACTTTGTTACTTAACTACTCTGAGACAAAGTTTTCTCACTACAAAACATTCTTAAAAGTACAAGTACCACCCTAATACACTCTGCATGGTTTTTGTGAAATGCCATTCATTCATTCAACAAACATTTATTGAGTTCTCACTGTACATCAGTCACAAAAGATTTTTGGTTTTTTGTTTGTTGGTTTGTTTTGTTTTGTTTTGTTTTTAGGCAGAATGAAATAATTTAATCTAACATCCTTATTTTTGCAAAAGTGGAAACTGAGACCCAGAAAGGTGAGGTGCCTTAGGGAAGTCTGAGAAAGGGCTTTGGAAAACTGCACAGGGGGACCACACAACAGGGAATCATCATTATTGTAACTGCAGGAATGGTGATCTCAGGGTTTAGTTTTCCATGGACATTTCCATCTTCTAGGAGTTCCTTTTATGAAATTCACTGGACATTGTTATTTTCAGCATGGTTCTTTCCAAACCTGGCAACATCCGAAAATCACACAGGAAATTTCAAAGTTGATTCCTCCTACCTCAGAGGCTGTGGATCAGAATCTCCTACGCAGCCCTCCAGCTAGCTGCGTCTTTGTAGCGTGCCCCCAGGTAACCCTGAAACAGCCTGGAGCTTCGAAATTCTGTTTGTTAAATGAAATAACAAATATGTGAGGGACAAATAATGTGTAAATTATTGTGAATTAATGTTTAAGTCACCCAGGGTCTGTAAAATCAGATCGTTAAAAATAAGGGAAAACAACTTGAGAAAGTTGCTGCTTTCTATCTGTGAAATTTCTCTGACTGTCCTCAACTCAGAATCCCTGGATTTTCCTATTGCGGTTCCCGTGAGTTATGCCAACCTGTGCCAGCACTGCAACAGCCCTGGTGAGCACATGTAACCTCCATTGCTCTCCACAGTGCCCCTTTTGATGCCTTTTCAGTCCTTCAAATTACAACAGGAAGGATCCTCTCTCGGATAAGATCACTGTCAGAAAATGTGCTTCTGAGACTCACCAATGTCTTGTTAACCCTTTGAAGCTTTCTCCCTACTTGGGAGTTTTTCTCCAAATACCCAGATACAGCTCAAAATCCAGGATTTTTCCATCTCTGAATCTCTCCCTAGTCATGGCAGAATCTTTTCCTTTGCTACAGCGTCTATTCGGTTAATTTATTAAGTTATTATCTGTTATTTGCTCACTCCCAGCTACTGTACACACTGTTGAAATGGTCTTTTTGCATTTAATAACCTTGAGGAAAGTAATGCTTTCTCAACATATATACCTCGAAGAACACTTTTAGCTGCCTTACTTTTCAAACTTGAGAATTCTGTGAAATTCCTAGGATATGAACTACTACCATATTTTGGGAAAACACTAAGCATTTAGTCTGTTAATATCTCTTTAATGGTATGCTAAAAAAAATTACAGTAAGTCAAGGAGATACTTCCCTGACCAGCAGCCAGGCCCTTCATTCTGCAGGAGCATCAAGGCATTCTGAGGTCATCTCTGACCTACAAAGATGACTACGGATGCCTGAAAGTAAACAGAGGTATCGAGGTCAGAGTCCTCCTGAGAGAACTCTTTTCTGGCTTTAGGTTATGATAAGACGCAAAGAAGTTCACTTGTGGTCTCAGGTACTCTCATTTCAGAGAAAGAGACTACTGGGAATATCTGAGCTGTCCCTTTTTCCTCAACCATGTTTTCAGCATGAAGAGCCACCTTAGAATAGCCCCTTCCAGGAAACCACTGCTCGCTCTCCACAACTGTGGCAACAGAAAAAAAACAATTCACTGTCACTGAGTCAATTCTGACTCATAGCGACCCCCACTGGGTTTCCAAGGCAATAAATCTTTATGGAAGTAGATTGCCTCATCTTCCTCCCGCAGAGCAGCTGGTGGATTTGAACTGCTGACCTTCTGGTTAACAACCAAATGCCTTAAGTACTACACCACGAGAGCTCCATGACAGCTGTGGCTAGCACCCCGGATTGTTTTAGCATACCAGACACTCTGGCAGTGGCTCTGGGTAGAGGCCTGAGACCTCAGGAGTGTGATTTTACAACCTTGGCTCACTCACTTACCCATTCATCTACTCGGCAGATAGTGAGCAGGTCCCATGTGTCGAGTTCTGTGCCAGGCCCTGGTGTAGGATAGTGAGCTAAACAGATTCAGTCACCCTCAGGAGGTTTATACCCTAAAGAGGAAGTCAAGCAAATACTTAACCGAATCAATATATTACTAAACATTATGAAATAAAGCTACAGAGTGTGGTGAAAGAATACAAAACAAGGAAACCTGCGAGGCTGATTAGTCAGACTTTTCTGAGCAAGTGGCATTTAAACTCTAAGCTATGTCTAATGAGGAAGGGTTAGTGAGGTGCTGAGCAGCTAAATGGAAGTTCCGGGCAGAGAGAAGAGTATGTGTCAAGGCCGTGAGATGAGAAAGATGTTGGGACATTGAATGGCATGAGTGGGGGGATAGGGGAGCCTGAGACAAGACTGGAGAGATGGGCCAGGACATGAAGGCCCTTGCAGGTCATGATGAGGTATTTGGGTATTACAGTAGGAAACCGTTAAGGGATTTAAGCAAGTGACGTAATCTGATTTACCTTTAAAAAAAAAATCACCCATGTTGCCATGTGGGGATGGATTGATTGCAGGAGGACAAAAATGGAAATGAGAGTAATTACAAGGCTATGAGAGAGATTCCACTCTAGAGCTAATGACAGCCTTGACCAGCGTGGAAACAGTGAGGATGGAGAGAAGTGAACCAATTTGATACAAATCTTGAAGTGACTGAACTCAGGATGAATTTCATAGAGTAATTAAGAGAAAGCGAGGTGCTGAGCATGATTCTCAGGTTTGTGGTCTGAGCGGCTGACTCGATGGGAAGCATTGGAAGCGGAGTGGATTGGTCGAGTCGGGGGTGGATAGAATTAGTAGTTCAGCTTTCCGTGTGAGCCTTGAGTGTCTAGTGAACCTTGAGATGGAGATGGCAAATATGGCTGTGGAGCACTGAGCATGGGTCTGAGCTGGAGGGAAAAATGTAACCATCACTGACTGGCATTGTGATAGTGGGAGCTGTGTGTCAACTTGGCTGGACCACAATTCTGTGTGGTTTAAGCAGTTGTGATGTGGTTATTCCCATGATGGGATCAGATGTATATGTTTTGAGCACCCATTCCGTTGAAAGGGAGTTTCCCTAGGAGTGTGGCCTGCTTCCAGTATATTTATGGACATCCTGGGAAAAGAGACACTCTTCTGTGGGTCAGGACTCTGTTGTGCTGCCTACAACTGTCCTGGAGATCTTGGATTCATCATTCGTTGGAGTCAACAGCCAGTATACTGCCTGCCAACCTTGAGCTTCTAGCCGCTGCAGCTGCGTGAGTCAGGAAAAGCCCCCAGCTTGATGTTTGCTCCAAGAACTTTGGACTTGCCAGCTTCTATCAGTATGTGAGCCATTTTCCTAAGTTAAGTTTCTCTTTCTCTCTCTCTGTAAGCTTTACTGGTTTTGTTCCTCTAGAGAACCCAGTCTCACACAGGCATGTGGGGGCTGTTGAGCAGAAATAGCATGAGAAGAGGAGAGGGCTGGAACAAAGCCCTAAAAACATCCAGATGGAGAGATGAGGCAGGAGACTGGCCTAGAAGACGCTGGAGAATGTGGTTTGAAAGTTGGGGGAGACCAGAAGACTTTTGTGTCTCAGATGCCAAAGAGGAGAGTTTTTCATGGAGGAAATGCTACTGAAAGGTCAAGTAAAATACAAATGAAGAGTAGTGCATTAGGTTTGGTAACATGGGTGACATTGGCTGTCCTTGGTGATTTAGGCAAAGCAGAGTCCGGTCAGTAGGAAGGCAAGCAACGGAGAAGTGAATGGGAAGGATGACCGTGTAGGCCATTCTTTCAAGAAGCTTGAGTGTGAAGAGAGCAGTTGCTAGAAGGAGATGTGGCACAGAGAGAGTTCTGTTTCTTGAGACGTTATTTGCTACCATTTACAGACTGTTTGACTGCTCCAGGAGAACACCTCACCCACTGCTTATCAAAGTAAAGCCATAAGCAACATGAAAGGGCTTAAAATCGATGGAAAAGGTAACACTTTGGATTTGCTGGCAAGAAAATACTACTGCAAGTTGTCTGTGTACTGATAGACATTAATACTTTCCTTCTGAACCATTTTAATATCAAGCCAAAGAATTCAAGTGGCATTAAAGTCGATGCTAATAAGTAAAGAAGGGACCATTGAGACGGACCTTTGAAATCACAGATCAAGATGAGCAGCAGTGCCCTAAGTTTGTGTCAAAAGCCATACTGATGTTAATAAGGGTCTAGGGACTTTCAGAGACAAATATGACTTTGAAATTCGGTGGCTTTCAAATTTACTCCTAAGTATTCTTAAGAGAAATTGCTCCAAAGCCCTATGTTTATAGATTAAGCAGCACATCTTTTTTTTTTTTTTTTTTTTGCCAAGGATGATGCATTACTAACTCATGGCAAAGACATTCTTTTCATATTAGCCAGCCCGACAGATCAGTACAGGTGAGCCCTTTTTCGAGGTGCTTTCTCTGGATGAGAGAGATTTGGTTCCTTTTGCACTTCCTGAATTTCCACCAAGGAAATGCAAGTGGCACCAGGACTTGGGCACTTTCCATGTGGGTTAGGATTCTTGTTGAAGGAACAGCTTTGCTCAGGTTGCTCACCTTTTCCGTAAAGCAAACGGAGAGCTGTTTATAACAGGCTTTGTCTGGCTTTGGCATTGATTTTAAATCACCTGGATTGATCATGTGGTTATGGGACTTTAAAAAATCCCACCAAACACCAAAGCCTCTAAACATAATTAGAATTGAGGGGTTTTTAATCTGCTGGCGTCGCGTCCACAGGAGCACATTCTGAATAATCCCCTGCGTCTGCTCACCTTGGGTGGAGAGGAAGTACCAACCTGCTGCAGAGGGTCTGGGGTATGGTAGATGTTCTCTGAGCACACAGAAACTGCCCCATTTTCAAAAGGAAGAAGCATCTAAGATCTGTGTCTGTCTTGGAGGGTTTCACTCATGGCCTGGCAGCTTGCTCAGCCAGTGAGAGAAAAATATGCAAATCAGCCAGCTGTCATGTCACACACCCCTCAGTTGTAGGACCACAGCAGGACTTGGGCAAGCTGATCTCAACCAGGTTTGACAAAGAGGCGGAAGGTCTGAAATTAAATAGGTCAACACAGATTCTCTAATAATGGGTAGATGTGAAGGGACAACGAGGGATTCCCCAGGAAAACTGCTTTGAGAGATGGCTGCTAGTAACGCTTTCCCTTTCAGACAGCCATCCTCAGTGGCATCTCAGAGCTGAGCCATCTTAGTTCATGATGAACCCATTCCTGTTTTTCACTAATGACTGTATTATTCCTGTAAGCTGAATGGTTAAATGAAGTAAATATTTATAAAGGTCTAAACTACTTTAAGAAGCTGACTTTCCTATTTCAAGGCAATTATCTTTCGGAGTTTGCTGTAGGGCATCAACTGGCTTGTCATGTTGCAGTTGTTGTGGGCCGTCGAGTCGGACCCGACTCATAGCGACCCCTCCTTGGGTTGCCGAGGCAGTATCACTATGGAAGTAGATTGCTCAA